GGGAAGAAGAATTCCTAAATCTCTTGTTTTGGTACAATTTTCTGCTAAATAGATGTTACTTTTACAATTAAGAATGAAGCCACATAAAAGGCAGCTGACTTCATATATTTACCTATAAAAATGACAAATCACAGAAAGAGTTCCAGTGGATAAGGTTCATTTTGCAGATATCTAGCATGCAAATTCACATTCTCCCACAACCTGGACATCTGACAATTGATGAGTTCCTAAGAAATAGAATATATATTGCTTGAATAATTGTGTAAAATAGCTAATTTTACAAACTATGAATTATAATATGCCAAAATCCTCAGCTGACGTGAATCAGTGAAGCTGTGGTAGTTAATGTGAGATGAAAATGAGGCACTGTCTCAAATGCTGTTTGATGATAACTTTTTGAATAATCCATTTGTACATTTATGAATAACATGGTTCTCAAAATGTGCATGCTTTGGTCAGTGTCTGTTAGTAGGGATGTTTTGAGTGATGAGTATTTTATTGAATTGGGAAAATATTTTCTGTAGCTATTATTAATATATGTACTTCTTTGCTGAATTTACTTTTGTTTCTATTAAAAATTCTAGAGGCTATAGACTTGTACCGTGAGTCTTTTCCCCTCTATTCATATTGCAATCTCTCAGACACATATTTGAGGTAGGAATAATATTTTAATAAGTAAATTCATAAAATCACATAATGAAATTCTTAACACAGGCAAAAATTTTAGATACAGTACATGGGCTATAAGCCAGGCCACTACTTCAATATTTTTTTTCTAAGAAAGTCAGCTTTAGCATGTGTGATTTCCCAAGCCTCAGTGACAAGATGACAGACATTTGTAGTTCTTAATTATTCATAAACCATATTAATGATACTTAGAAAGTGCAGACATTATAAAAGAATTAAAGAATAACAGTCCATCTATATTACTACAGTTTGTGAACAAATTATTCAAATAGGAGTTTTTGAAATTATATTTTAAATTGGATGACCACACATACTTATGTGCTTGTGTATTGTATTTTAAGGAGCTTTTTTTTATGACTGTTTTTACAGTGCAGTTTAAGAGAAATAACAGTTCCTTTCAATATATCATAATTAATCAGATTTAATGTGATACCATTTCAGAAGTGGTCAAAAGGAAGAAAAAGATGTGGTGACTACAGAAGGATGCACTATACACTGATATAGATAGACCACAATAGTATGTTTCTTATGGATTATTGAAATGCCTATCTTCTTAAGCAAATAATAAGAAAAAGAAAAATATTAAAATCATTGCTATGTATTATGCCTATTGAAATATCATAGGTTTGCTTCATATCTAAGCACTTACACTAGCCCAGGAGTAGAAGGAAATGTGCAAAGCACTCTTAAGTTTTTCCAAATGAAACTACATTGTTGCACACAGTTACAGTTTAACTACAATAAATACCCTGTTGATCGATATTAATATATTCATTAAGATTCTCTTTGCTGGTAAATATGAAATAATGCCAAACTTCTTTGTTAATGTGAAGTTTGCAGTGTAGCTGACCACCAATAAAACTGTCTGTAAGCATTCAAGATGTGTTGATATAAGATCATATTCAGATTGTCAACATAATCAAGACTGTGATATATGAAAGAAGTTCTTGTAGGATAAGGTAGGGGTCAATTAGGCTGTAAGTCTTCAGGGTGCTGCATACAGGGCCTTCACTGCTCCTTCACAGAGGTCCTTTAGCTTCACTAGGGCTCAGACCAGAAATGAACAGGAAGTAGGAAAGGTATGGGCCCCTACAGATGTGGTGGATTCCTAAGACTCAGGTTTTAGAAATAAATATATCCAGGGATGATGACTGCTATAGGACAAGTATGCTATCTAAACCATCCAGATAGAACTAAATAATACAGCTGTGTTATGTTAGCTTTTCATACAGGGGAAAATACAGTGACTTGGAATGTAAAAAAACATGTCATGGCTCATCTGCTTTCACAGAAGCAACTCATTTTGGATTAGTTTCTAACTCCACCTCCTTAGAATGGGCAGAAGTCATTATTATTTTCATCAGCCATCTTTATGCTGACCATAAAGAGTCAGATCTTGTGAGGTCCTGACTTACATTGTCATGCTCATTGTCAGTGAACAGCTGACAAGGCTGCTGATTGTCTTACATGAATCACTTTGACTCCTTTGAAGCAATAGACATGAATTAAGACTAACCATTACCACAGAGTTAAACATTATTCTTTCATTCTTGCAACGAGTGGCTTTGCAATCCTTACCAAAAACATACTTCAGAATGGCAGTAAATGCAAGAGGGCATCAAATATTGCCCTAATTTTTCATTCATTTAAACTAAATTCTAAAGGCTCTCCCCCAAAAGAAGAACAAGAGATTAATTTCTTAAAATTATTGCTATATTTAGCAGCTCATAACATCACCAACATGCACATTTCTGTGATTTAGATTTAATACAAATATTTCAAAATACAGATCTGAAAAATTTTCTCCATTATTATTACAGGCCTATTCAATAAAATATATACCTTTGGTATAATATGTTCCATTGTATATAGCAAACCATTTTCATTGTCATCAAAAATATATTTTAGCACTTGCTGATTACAGGGGACACTAATTCCTCAGATAACCCACAATATTGGGCACAGTATCTTGAACCGGCTCATAAACATGTAGACATGATAACCATGCACATTTTCTGTTGGAAATGGCAAGTGAAAGGTCTTTGAGAATTCTAAATTTACTAATGATTAAACTACTTAAACTGTCTTCATGCTGCTTTCTTAGATACAACATAAGACATTATTTTAATTGAAAATATGCTTTTAAATAAGGCAATTTTTGTAAAAATTGAGTGGTTTTTCTTACATGAAAAACTACTTTTCCTGTAAGGTGGTCATGTCTCCCTTGCTATTCTGAAATCACTACACACAAAACAGTAAAATTACAGAGCTAAGCATCCTCCAAGGATGAAATCACAGTGAAGAAAGCTGTGATATACTTTATGCTGCTAATCATTTTGTATCATATCACATCATATGATGATACCACAATAGAAGAGCACTGGTTATTTACACAGTGGTTCTGACTGGAAAATGTAAACAAAGATGAGTCAAGCACCTCAACAATGCATTGACTTGTTAGTTCATATCCAGGTTTTACAATGTTGTTCCTTAGTTCCATTGTTAACTTGACATGAGGCACCTGTTTTTAAGGTAAGAAACTGCTTGGATGATGAAGTGTCAGTGGGGCTTTCAAGTAAATATGAATCTGTTCCCTTTTAACTCATTATTAAGTCAAGGGTATGCTAATCTATGATCCAAGAAAGATGAAATGCTGTTAGATCTGTATGCAGTTTATGGAGTTCTATGACATAGAATGACTGTTGTTTTCAAAGATATATAAGCTCCAGAAAACCTCCAGTACAGTAAATAATATTTTAAAATAACTATTTAGGTAAAATTCACATTTTAACATAGATTAACAGAAGTCTGATGGCTATTCAGAAACTATTAGTCCATCTGAAATTGTTGGAATTGGCTTGGAAAAAGCTCAAGTGTACTTGAACATCACTGTAGGTATGAACACTTGAGCATGACAGTTGGAGCTTCTTTCCAGAACTAAATGCTCCTTCTTTTTAAGGTCAATTTGAAGGTGAATTTTATTGTTGTGAATTGCTTTTCTCCGCCAGAGGACTTCATTATAAACAGAGATTCATTGTTGCAGGAGACAGGCTGTCTAGCTGTTCTTCCTCACTTCACAGTGTGTTTCCCCTCATTGAAGAGGTGCCTGCTGTCTGTGGAAAGTCCACGTAATAGGTTCTATCCTGAAAGCCTATGTGGTCCTCCTTGTACCAGGGTCATAATTAGTATATTCTCTTTTCTATTATTTAAAGGCATCTAATTGTTCTAGGTTATTACACTCTGTTCATAATTGTGGTAAACACCTAATTATCAATTTGAAAAGCTTATCTGTGTCAGATTGCAAAATAACCTCTAATATCAGGCTATTCTCAGGAGGTCAGAAAGATATTCATCTATAAATATGTCTCATTTGCCAGAGTTTCATGAGCTTAAGATTCCACTAACCAGACAAAAGTGTCATCCTCACCCACCGTGAGATCTAACAGTCCTTCCTTGCTTATGTTTCGAGGAGTTTCCCCAGAAACTCCTCTGGGGCGCTTCCCAATTTCGTGAGTTACCATCTCTTCAGAAATAATGGTCATTTAATTTCTCTTCTTAATCTTCCTACACCTTTTTTCATGCTGAAACAGATTGAGCTGATGAATCATGGCTCCTTTCTTTCCTTGCTGTTTATCCTCCTGCCCTTGAAGCATTGAAGATAATCAGTCAGGCAGGTTTCTCCTCCTAAAAGCTATTTTAAAATTGAGAAGTCAATTGAGAATGTCATTCCTAGGAGGTCTGGTGAGGTTTAATATCCAAAAAATGAATAATCATGTCCACAATAGGAGCAAAGCAATATAGATAGAGGTATGTATCAAAAATCCTAATGAATTTTCAATTACCTTCATTTTCCACTTCGCATCTCCTAATATATTTCATAAAAGTCTGATTTTATCTTGTAAAATAAGTTTTCAGAGGTTTTAGAATCAGGATACAACCTGGCCAGAAGAAGCAAGAAGAAAGTGGCAGGAATTATATTATGATTTGTTTTACTGCACCAGGCAGTGTGGATACTTCTGTTTCAATCTCTTTCTAAGTGTTTATCTCCATTTAAGAAAAAAAAGAAAGAAAAGTATCCATGCATATCTTGTTGTTCCCTCAAGGATATCATTATGTCATTATACAAGAAATATACCATTGTATGATAAGATCTGTATGTCAAGACTAATGAGCTTCCAAATACCATGCAAGGAATTTGATCAAAGTGCTTTCAGTGTAGAGGATATATTTCACTATAATATTTAACAGTAGGTCTAATAAAACAGATACTTTATTTGGATGCTGTTGAGTGACAATAATAAGATTCACATTTTTCAGACTGAGTCCACCTTCACTTGATTGTTGTTTGTAATCAGTGGAGAAGGTTTACTTCTCATTCTGTCTCCTGCATCATTAGAACTATCCTGGAAAAAAACTTTTGCTGTACAAAAGGTGACAACAATTCTCTTGTATTCCCTTCTGAAGTTCTGGTTCAGGAGTCCATAGACTATAGCATTAAGGCAACTGTTGAAATATGCCATATAATAACTAGATACAAACAACCATTCTGGAATCTTAGGGATTACAGTTTTTGGGTTGACAGCTACAGCAAGGCCTATGAAGTTCAAAGGAGCCCAGCAGACTGCAAACAGTACAAATACCACAAACATGGTTACAAAGTTTCTGAAGTCATGTGGTTTCAGCCTGGGTTTGTTATCTGGTTTAACCCTTCGCCTTACCTGAATAACAAGGATCCATATTCTCAAGTAACAGAAAGTAACTACAGCTATGGGAAGCAGGAAATGGAAAAACACAACTGCTATTGTATACGCTGAGCTCACAGACTGTGCAAATGTACATGAGTAAATCCTGGGGTCATACTGCAGCGATCCCACAAACAGGTTGGGCACGATAGCAACAAATGTTAGGACCCATATAAGAACAACATAGCACAAAGAATTCTTGTCGCTGTACAGCTTGTCATATTTGAGACTGTGGCAGATATAGCAGTACCGATTGATAGCGATGCCTGTAATATTGAAGATTGATCCAATGACACTTAGGCCCATCAAGAAGCCACTAATCTGGCAGTGTAGGTATCCCAGTTTCCATCCGTTGTGAAACACAGATGTGAGGACCAGTGGATATGGGTAGATAGCTACAACCAAGTCTGCAACTGCCAGGCTTACAACAAACACATTTCCTGTAAAATAAATACAAAAAGGTAAGTATTAGTTTTTCTTTTGCTCTTTTCTGCCACTTCTGCTCTCAATATACTAATGAGTACCCATAGTGGAACACTTTAAATGCAGTTAGTTTCTACTTTCTAGATCAAAATTCATATGTCAAAACAAAATGCTTATTTTTAGTCTAAAAATACAGCTTAACGACGCAACGTTTTCAAGAAAACTGTCTTTAAACTTAATTGCCATGACCTACTACTTTCATCATGTCATTTATTTGAATTCTTCCAATCACACACACTTAGAATCATATCAAATTAAAATATTCATAACTTTAAGCCTTGCTTTGGTTTTAAGCAGTCTTTCTTGAAAAATCAGCAGAAATTATATTACTAATAAATTTTGAAACTCACATTTACCTTCCTTATTTAATTTAATTCTCTTTCATTACATTATATTTTAACTTTTCCAGTCCTGAAATGAAAATCCTTTTTTTCCCATTTATATTTCAAGCTTCCATGGCTTTAATGTGACTTTTACAGCTACTCTCTTTGAATCTGCTGGCTAGCACTTAACTAAGAGTACTTTAACTTCTAAGAGTCTAGCTGACACAGACTTAGTTGTCTTCCCCAAAATGAGACACGCTCTTCAATAAAAAAGCAATAGTGAGCAGTGACCTAGACAGTTCCCAGACAGTGTTGATGCCCCATTCTTCTCTGCCTCCAAACTGGAAAATTAAGCAAAGAAACATTCTCTTGGTTCATTTTTTTTAAACAAAGGGAGATGATAGAATCCCTAATTGCTCTTCAAAGACAATGGAATCCATCATGTTTTGAATTCATGTTTTCAGCAGAGATTATATATTCTTTTTTCAGTTGCTTAAATGATAACTCATTTGAATGCCTCCCAACCATTCTAGCTTCTAAGAAGCTCACAAGATACATTGATATAGTTTATTAACATGTATTGGCCTAGTTATTCATGTCCATAACTACAGAAAGCTATACATGTGTACATATACTTGCAGGTATGCAGGTATGTAGATGCACATATAGACAGGCATTTGCGTGTTTGAGATTCTGTTTTGGAATTCTGACATTATTCATGGAAGATGAAATATCAGCTTCTATTGCAACCTGTAATAAAATATATTGCTAGTTTCAGATGATGTAGAATTTCATTGTTAACCCAAAGTGGGCTTGGTGAACTGTTTAATGCATTTGTTTTGAGGAGACAAAATACACACAGATAAAAACAGGTTAAAAGAAAAGGTTAAAGCATCTATGGACCAACAGGGTATTTTAGTTGCTATAGTTCTCAAAATTACTTTTTAAATATATCTCTCACTAATCTTTGGCTTTAAAAGGCTAGGTAGAAATATTAAATCTGAAAACACTGACATAGAAAAACAGAAATTAACTATCTTAGGATGCTACTAACACTCACTAGACTGTTAGGAGCATCCTAAAATAGTTAATTGGTGTTTAAATTTTGATACAAGCACAAAGTACCACATTTGATATTTGTAATAATGGCAGCTGGAACAAATAGCCTCAAATAAAAGACTGCTATACTAGTTTTCATAGATTTTGTATCTGGGTTTAAAAATAACTTTCTCATGATAGTGTCTGTAGTTGTTTCTTCTTTGACTGGGAATTCACTGCCAGACTGAAATATGCTTATCCTGAAGCCCTTGGCAGAATTCCAGATCATTTCAGCACAAACATCAGAGCTCCTTTAAGCAGAAGACAACATGGGAAAAAAAACATTGCTTTCAGAATTTACTCTTGATGTAGTGGTAAGTGATACAAGAATATGAAACTGTATGGAACTCACTGCTCTCTGTGTCTGTCTTAAGAATCAAGGAGTGGAAAGTGAATGAAAAGTTGCTGTTGCCAGGACTGTTCCCCCTGTCCAGAATATTGCAGGATTGATGAAATAAAAACATATAAACTCCAGGCACTTATTTAAATATAATACTTAAAAGAATTCTATTTATATTTGCTTATTAATTTTCTCCTTAGCTGGAGACTGCCCATCCCAAACTTCTTTTCTCTGCCATGCTCTGGAACTTCTGCTGGTTCTCTCCATTAATATTCTAATATTGTCATTATTTACTCACTTGAGCAAAATGATAAGGACAAAGCTAAAATTGGGAGGGGTTTTCCCCTTTGTTGAAATGTGGCAGGTGGTATGCTTTTCTCTGAAATTTTAGCTTTGTTAACATTTGAATCTAGGAAGAATAGGCTCTGTGTCTGAATTAGCCAAATTTCAGGCTTCCATAAACTCATGCACCATGGTTTTCCTAGTTTATGTTCTCAGTTGGCTGCTGTAGAGTGACAAACTGAAACTCTTGAAACACAAGCTGTTGCATATGAAAACTGGAGGCTAGCATGATATCCTGGGAGCTTTTCTTTTTTTTAAAAAAAGGTCACATAAAAAAACCCAACTAACAAAACAACAAAACCCATGAGTTTGGAAACCAGGGTCCAGGTTGCCAGCTCATGGTTAGCATGTCAGCTGAATGACCAAAGCATTGGACCAGAAACAGCTTGAAAACTAGATACCTGCTTGCAGAGAGAACTTTTAACCTGCCTTTCATGAAGGGTTAAATTCAAACTTGAGTTCAGACACATTTTCCTTGTGAGCACAGAAACCTTGTTGCTAAGATGGAATAGAAAATTCAAGTAAAATAAGTTTGGGGATCAGTATGTTTGCTGTATATTTTAAGGTTGATTGTTTCAGACTTTGAAGTTGGATCTGAAATCATCAGTGGAAAATATTGATAATTTATGAAATTCCCATATATTTAATGGCACATTGTGAAATTAAAGTCATGTTTCTAGAACACTTAGTATTATAGAGGTAAGTACCATAAAAATACATATTGGAAAAAAATTAATTTTTAGCTTCAGAGTTAGATTTGAACAGAATGCTATAGATGAAGCCTAAAGCTCTACAGTGAACCCTTTAAAACGGCCGCAAAATCAAAACCTTGAATAACACTTCCTTGAACAATAACTATTCATTCTCTTTGGACAGTAACATTACATTGCTGTGAAAAAAAAATGTGATTCACGTAACTAAGGCATATATTATTATGCATTTTCACCAGCTGGCTGAACTGAGAAGGCACAGGTTGAATTTCTTGACTTTGACGTAAGTCAAATAAGCTTTAATAAATTTAAGCACATGTTGTGCTATAGATGTATGTGGGGAGAAAGGTAATCTACTGGTAACCAGCTTCAGCAAGTTATGCTTTTAGATGCTGTCTAAAGCAATGTTCCATTAAATATTTTCACCACCCTTACTGAAAAAGATTTCTTTCTGCTCAATAAACACATAGCAACATCAGACCTACCTGCTGAATACAAAACTGCATTAAAGCAACAGAAAACAAACAAGTGTTT